CCCCTGGCCACGCACAGCCCGGTGCACACCCCCTGTGTGGGCAGCAGCGAGGGGAAGGCTGGACTAAGTGGAGAAGCCCCCTCTGCTCCAAGACATGGAGGGGGGCTGCCTGTCGCTTCAGGGGTGACAGCTCACCCTCCGCAAGGTGGGGGTTAGGCGTGTGCAGCAGGCAGAGCACTCTGTGAGAGGACACGGTGTTAGCGTGACCGGCCGGGGCAGCGGCACGGCGCCTGCTTACCCTTCCAGAGTTTCCCTCCAGGACAGAACAAAAGCAAAGAGGAAACCAAGAGGAAAGAGCAGGGTGAGCATATGGCCATTAAGAGGAGGGAAGGGGGGGGGGGGGGGGGGGCCCAACACAAGCAAAGAGGAAACCAAGAGGAAAGAGCAGGGTGAGCATATGACCATTAAGAGGAGGGAAGGGGGGGGGGAGGGGAGAGCATAAATCCATACCTGTGATGGTGAAGCCACCTAGATGAAACCAAAAATATGAGAGAGAGGGAGGGAGAGAGAGAGAGAAGAGGATTAGCATTGGCACAGCAACACGGACACCCTGCAGCCTGCAGGGACATGGTAGTCCTTCCCTGCCCCATAGCTGAGGACTGGACATAGGGGGCTGCTCCCTGACATGCACCCCAGGGGTGGTGAGGGGAGACCTAAACACAGGCTTTTCAACCCCTATCTGTAAGCTGCCACCCCACCAGTATCTCATATGTGCTGGAGAGTGGGTAAAAACAGTGTAAGCCTGCCCTGGGGCTGGGGGTGCTTTGGGGAACGAGGGTGGCTTTGGTCTACTCCTTGGCCACCCTATCCTGGGGGTGGCCATCAAGGAAATTTGGAGGCTGGATGGGCTCTAAACTTCCCCAAGACTGGAGGCAAAGTTTGCCCTATCTCTTCAAAAAGGACTGGCCAACTTTCTTGTCCAGCCACAGGCATCCCTAAGTTGCCAGGCAATGCTGTTTCTACCGTGCCAGTGTAAGAGGCTATGGGTTAATTTGCACAGTGCAGTTTTGTAACTTGGGGTGTTGGCGGGTTTACTATGGCTGTAACAACGCCACCTCTGTAAAATGCTCCTTGCCACAGCGGGTTACCGCTGATTAACGTTAGTGACTTTGGGGCTCTATTCCGAGGAAAGATGTGGTATTAGATACCTGAGCTTACTTAAATAGTGCTGACCACCCTAAAAGAGAATGTTGTGAGCAAAGAAAAATGTCAAACAAAATCAACTGTCTTCCAAAAATACGCAGACAAACTGGAAAAATGGAAAAGAAAAATGAATACACGCTTACCAAGCTCATTCAACAACAGGGCTGTGAAGGAGACAGACAGAGACAAACACAGAAGAGAAAAGTAAATGAATAATGAAATCAAAAGGGACATCCACAGAAAGACTCCAGATCCCAGGGCAGAAATTTCAGATCTGTAAAGCTGCAGGACACCATTAGTGTTGAGAGAAAGGCACTAAAAATAAGGGAACAGAAACATTTCATGGGATTGTGGATTTAAAATAAAAACTATTGCAAACATGGGGTGGATATGAGATTAAAAGGCACACTCCAAAAATTCATTTTTCCCCTTTGAAATGTACGTGCAAGATCTTCCATTGGTCTCAGAGGCTGTTCTGCCCCGGGGGAGGACGCAAGACATCCCACGTGTAGCGGCTACTGGCTTTGACCTCCTCCAGCTGCCTAATGGGGAGCAGTATCTCCAGCAGGCAGCTCTGCTTCTGGCGTATAGGACGAGAGAAGAAAAGTCTGTGGCAAGGCTTGGCTCAAGAATCTTGTTGTTCGACATTTTAGGTCTCCAAAACAAAAGAAAAGGCCTCTTCCTTAGTGCACTGGTGGGTCTCTGGCCCCTGAGGCGCGGACCCCACCATGGCTACGTGGCCCAAGGGTGACATTTCAGAGATGCTCTCATCTCGAGGGTGCTGAACACACAGCTCGCCCTGCCTCGCTGCCTCTCATACAAAACCAAGCACAAAAAAATCTGTTAAAAAAAAGTCATTGCATGGCCAAAGCAGCAAATAGCATCCTTTAAAATCTTGACTTGCCTTCCAGCTAGTGAGTTTGCAAAGCTGAGCTTCCCTCGGGTTTCCTCAGTTATCTGTGTGACCAGGAAGATGAGGAGCTTTCTTTCCTTTTCCTTTTATTTTTAATTAAAAATTTCAGCTGGGATCTCTTGAGTTGGTACCGTGATTCCCAAACCTGGGGCCTGGAAAGCATGCTTGCTCTTGCTGGACTCACAAGACTGAGCCCACGCTGGTCCCTGTGAAACTGGGCAAAGCCGGAGCCTCCGAGTTGAGCTGTCCATGTGCCACTTTATCCTGGCAACAATGGCTATGCTCCATAGATGCCATCGGCACCATTTAATGGTACAAATCCCACCTGCAGAGCTTGGGTCATGCCAGCATGTCTGATTTTTTTAGCCCTGCTTCTGCTAGCTAGTCACATAAACCAGCAGGAAATGTGATAGAGGGGACAATGCAGCTGACCAAGACGGCAGCTGCACTGAAGGGGAACGTGGCACCACTGCCGGATGTCTTTTTAGCCTGAAATACAGCAGCATGTCTTCTCTCAGCATGGGGACTGCTGGGGGCCTTCTCTGTCCTGAACAAATAATATATTGCAACCCCATGTCTGCTGAAGGGAAAGCTTATGTCACAGAAATTAAAAAGCAGCTTCAAGGCAGACAGACCAAATGCTGCTGCCAATTTTTTACAAAGGCTTTAATAAGGGTCTGTTGTAGGGCAACTAATTATCTTAAGTAACGCTAAAACTGCTTCTTGCTCAGCCACCAATAGTGTGCGGAATTAACTGTTGCCATTAATTTTCACTTAATTTCCTAGCAGAAAAAAATGCATGGAAAAATAAGTGAACTCTGTCTTTTTGGGTAGGTTTGCAGCTGGTTTAGAAATGTGATGAAAGAGGAAATTGTTTTTATTATTCCTCTGAGAAGCTATTATCCAGTGCAGAGCCATGAGACTTTATTTGAGTATAACCTGATTTCTCCTAGAATGATCGCATCTTATGGTATTACCTACTTGTACCATGATTCTCAGCTATTTTCAGACCCTAGTGCCAGTATAAAAAGGCCAAAATTACTGCTCTGGCCATGCATTTTATTTCAAGCAAAGGATATTTTATCTTCTGATAAAAATGATGCAGCATCGCATTTTACTTCTTGAGACTGAATTTTCTACTCGATTAAATGAAATTGTAGCTGCAACGTGGCAGGGCAGCTCTCTCAAAATGTCTCTAGGGGCTGGTGATGCTCATTGTCCCCTGCCCGGGTGCTCCAGGGCCCTCCTGGGAGTTCGCCTTGCTCCCGGGGGGCCCTCGTGAGCGAGACGGAGTCCTCCCGAAATGAAAGAAGAAAGAAAACAGAGCAAAAAGTTGCAGTCGCCAAGCTTTGAAGGAGGGAGGGCAAAACGGCTGGGAGCCAAAGTGTGAGGAGAAAGGAGTGTGAGAGTAGGGAGACACAGAGAAAGCGGACGGCAGCGTCTCAAGAGCTGGTCTGGTTTTACTCTCACACCTTTCACTCCTCGTCGTAGCCACACCGGGTCCCCAAGCACAAGGAAGAAACTGCACTCTTTCTCATACTCCTCACGGTCAAGTATTCTAAGGGTAATGAATTTCCTGTGGGAACACAAGACAAAGGCAAACACATGGTTGGCATCACACACGCATGCAGTTCACGTCCGCCCGGGTGCCGTGGTGCTGGAGATGGCTGGATGGGGGGAAGCAGCTGCACATCCACCCTGGGGCATATGGGCAAGGGCAGGAGCATTCCCATCACCCAGCTGGGGTTGGACCTTGGTGGGCTGTGGAAAGGCTGAGTTCAGGGGGCATGGGAAATGTCCTCGCTCCTGCCCTTTACCATAGGCATTGGGGATGTGAGCTCAGTGTTGCAGGTGCCAGGCATGAGTGAGCCAGACAGGGACACACAGGCTGGGCTCAGCCCTGGAGAACATCCCCCACCTTTCTTCTCACTCATCTCCACCAGCCGGGGCTCCCCGATCTCTAGGTAGAAGGTCTTGTTTTTCTCATACTCCTCATCATCTATCACCTTGATTGATATCGTTTTGCTGGAACAGAGAAGAAGAAATAGAGATTCAAGAGTAAGGCAGGAAAAGGGAGGAGGCGAGATGGGGAGAGGAGAAGGAGGGTGGAAATGGCAGGAGAACAGGGCTGCAGACAGAAGATAGTGGGTTTGGTAGCAGAGGCTGGAGAGGCAGCACAGCTGAAAGCAAAAGGCAGGAACTGACAGGCCAAGCTTGCCTCAGGATGAGCACGGACCACAGGGTCAGAACACCAGCAGCTCGCAGGGTGCCATCTTCCCTAGCGTGGCCAGAGGCCACGGCTGGACCTGATGTAGCCTGGGCCCGCCCCCCCCAGCAGCCTCCCCCAGAAGTGTCTTGGCCATGGGGGCAGCAAGACATGTCCCTTTCTGAAAATCCAGGGTGCAGAACAGCTCCTTGACAGCTTGCACACACCGCATAGGCTCCTGGGGGCACGAGCACTGGAAACCAGCACAGACCAAGCCCTTGAAAGCACCATGCACTGCTTAAACCAGACCCTGCCCATGAAAGAGCCTCTGTCTTGCCAGGCACAGCAGATCCATGCAGAACATCATGATCAGCTGCTCAGTTTGGGATTTGGAGGCTCCAATTTACAAACTCGAAAGGGATACTGGAGTTAGGACTTTTTCTGTGGCGGTAACACAAGAGGAAGACAGTCTTTCTTGTTAGGGCAGGGTGAATGAAAGCTTCGCTGATGGTGAGAAGTGAGTTTTTTATTTTCCTTTGCAAGCAGTGTACCCTTCCTCAAGCCCCAAAGGTCTGGTTCTCTCCTGTTGGAGAGCTGTGCAGCAAGTCTCTCTTCTCACCTGGCCTGGTGTTGCTGAATTTGCCCCTGGGGCATCAGCAGGGCAGAAGGCAGAAAGCCAAAGGCAGAGCCCCTGTCCAGAGCACATGCCACAAAGGGAGAAAGCCTTGCAGGAGGCTGTGGCCACCATCAGAGAGATTTGCTCCTTGGGGCACCCAACAGAGTGGAAATTGAGTGAACTAATCACTTGACAAGGGGCAAAAAACTAGAACGGAAGAAATTTTCCAGCTCTTTTCAGGGACTCGTGTACGTAGCCCAGGAACACCCAGCTGAAAGCTGCTCACCAGAAGGTGAATAAACCCCTGGGATAAAAGGGGCTGGTGCATGGTGGGAGATTACTGTGGTCTTTCCTACAGTGCAAAGCCCTTCCAAAGCCAAGATGGGGGGCAGAAATCCAGCAGCCCCTGCTCCCGCTCGGACTGCCCTGCTCATGGTCAAGCGCACGTGGCATTGCTGTTGGGACGGGACCTCCTCCTGGCTCTGACCTTTTCCCAAACAAGAAATAAGAAAGCAAAGACAAGAAGAAATAAAAAGGCAATGCAGTGACTGTCTGCAGCCCTCTGCTTGCTGCTGACCTCCTGGCTGGGTTTGCTTTTTCCCCACACTTGATGGCATTGCTCTCCTGTGAATGCTCTTGCTCAAACAAGCTTCCCTGTTGCTCTTCCCCTGCCCAAGCCTCCCTGTTCCGTCCTTCAAAGAAATGCCTCTCATCCCATCCCGGGCTCCTCTATGCTTTCCACGGGCAGCCAGCACAAGTCGGAGCAGTCCCAAGGCTGCTCTAATATACGATCAAGGAGGATCTGCTGTTCCTGGTAGGTCCTAGCACTGAAAAACCATGAACATGGAAGCAAGCCACGCTCTAGGGGAGTGAAATTCAGGCCACTCTGCTGCAATTCTGGCTTTCTCCCCTCCTTACTGCCACCCAGAGCCCCTCTGTTAAGACGACAAGTATTTGGCAGCAGAGTCGACATTTTATTCTCATTCAGAGCAAACACTGCCAAGCACTTGGAGGAACAGCCAGGATGATTTCTTTTGCTGTTTGCTATGAGTCACAAGTGTATTAAGTTTGCCCTTCATGCTTATAATGAAACCATTTACTCAAGAGCAAGCGATGGCTGTGAAAAGTGTAACAATGCAGCACAGCTCAGTGTAATTGTATTTTATAATGAATATCTGTAATAATTTGTTCTGTTTATAATTATTGCTGCAATAGGTTTGTACACAGGAAAAATGGTTACCAAGCACGCAGTTGATCTTGCTTTGCATTGATGAGTTAGGGGAAATTATCGTGTATTAAAAAACTAATGAAGGATGCAAAAATGCTCTCAGCCAAGCTATCAAAGAGGACCTGACAGAATTAACAGAATGGCATAATTTCAAAAACATTACTAACAAAATCAATAATTTCCCTGACAAATCCCATTAAAATGTACACTGCACCCTGCCCCCATGTATGAAAAAACCCCTTTCTCAGGAAAGTTAATTAAAAAAGCTGCATTCATCAATTCTGAGGGCAGCAGAGGTATCAAGACGTAAACTTCCTATGGATGTGCTCTGGCTTGCCATGCACGGCATTGCTCAAAGCCCCACAGAATGAATCTCTCTTACAAAAAGAAACATGGATGCCAATTAAAAAAGCTGTTTCTGATGCTTAGACCCACCACCAATAGCACTTGCTTGAATAACGTGGCCTCGGGGCTTGAAGTGCCGCTGCCAGCAGGTGCTGTGGTGATGCAGTTATCCAAGTGATCTTTCTAGGGTGCGAGCAAATGCTCTGTGCTGGGTAGACATGTGCACTGCTGCTGTTTCTGCTGTACAAGGCTGTTGGGGAAAAGGGTGGGAGGAACAAATGGCAAGTCTGCTCTTTGGATGAATCTTCAATCAGCAAGAATTGCTGAGGCAAATTTGTCCCGAGGATGAGACTGCAAACTTGGAGAAAAGGAATTCCTCCTAATGGTGTTCGCCATCACACCTGTTTGAGAAACAGCAAGTATGTGAAAATAACACAGGCTATTCTTAGAGCATGCCTGATCTCCATCACATTGCTTTTTGCTTGCTTCAAAGCCCCTCTGCATGTGGCCGTGTGGCAGGGATTGATCAGTGGAGAAGGAGGAGGATCAGGCAACTGCACAACTTATCCAGCAGTAAGGACTGCTTTCTGCTGTGATCTGGGATGTGCACTGATGACACCCTGCTCGTGCTGGACCGTCTGACATGGTCTCTGCTTCTCACTCCTCTCCCAGGCAGACATTTGCTGGATAGCGTGGGCTGTGACAATGTGAGCAGTGCCAAGCTAGTGTGGGACTAGATTCATGCGAATCTGGGGTCAGTCTAGATGGTGTTTCCAAGCTGTCCCTCAAATCCTCACAGAAGTCTAGAATGAGCTTTGGTTTGGGGATGAAAGTGGTGTTTCTGCCATCATCTAATGCCTCCAGGAGCTGGGTATTTAAGCCAAACACTCAAGATCCCATGAGTGTGCAACATGACAGCTCTTGAAAAAGCTGGAATGTTTTTTTCTTGCCTTGTCCCTTGGTTACACTGCAGGTGGGAAAGAGCAATTTCTGGAGCATCTAAAACCAACAGCTTCAGGTGCATGGGGCTAGAGGTCCCTCTGCCGAGCCAGGCTGTGTGTTGGCCTAAATCACCAGGCTTGGCACACCTCCTGCCTTCCACCCTGCCTGCTGCAGGGAGCCCCAGTGACACCATGGGGCAAGTCTGCACGAAACCACTGCTGCTGCTGGGGTTTTCCTTCTGCTGGGGTTGAATCCATTTCACCTGAGCTAAAGAGCCCTGCTCTGGCGTGAAGGTTGAGGGTGTCCATGGCAGATCCAGCTGTCTGCATTTTTCTACCAGAAATTGCTTTTCCCTGAGTCTGTAGCCAAGGCAATTGCTGAGGGAATGAGTTTCACCTCATTTCCATGTACTGGAAATCAAAGAATAAAAAAAATTTTGCAGAATTGCAGCTCCAGCTCTTCTGTTGCTGACACCGAGCAGCAACAAGAGAAGGGTGGTATCTTCATGAACATAGCATACAAATCTTTGCCCTTGCTCCAAGCCCAATGATCTCCATCAGGATTTAATTTTTGTTTCAAAATGTGCTATTTCATTCAAACTGTAAAGGTCTTTTAACTGAGCATTCATACACAGCCCCTAGTTACAATAGCCCATGGAAAAGTCCTCTTGGCCTATGATGCTGTAAATATGGTGCACCAAGGGAAGAACTGCTATACCTGATTGGACCCAATGGCCATCCAGCACAGCCTCTTCTTCTGACAACAGCGAAGAGCACCTTGGAATAGGAGGATATAAGACCAGGAAGGGCGTGTAGGCAGTACTTCCAACTGATGCACTCCCAGACCCCAAATATTTGTGTCTCAGGGGGTTCCTAGCCAAACCAGGTTTCTATGTATTTAGCTATGCTCTGCAGATTTCTCCCATCTCCCTTTGAGCTTGGATAAGCTTTTGGCATTTGCAGTATCCCATGTGCTAGTGAGAGCAATGTGATTGCTAATGCCAGCTCAGTGTCATGGACAGCAAATAGCTGCTCTTAGGAAGTGATGTGTACGTGGTGCAATCATGCCAGCCCACCTGCATTTTCTGGGCACATCTCTGGAACAGTGAAGAGAGAGCACCCACATGCCTGCCTGCAAGTGACCCCAGCAGGGCACATGACACTAGCAGGACAGGGCTGAATGTCCCCTGTCAAAGGACAAGCAAACTGGCTTTGTACAATGGCAGGGCAAGAAGAGAGTTAACGTCTAGAGAAAAATGCCAGCTGGGCAAGGCACCCTGTGAGCAATCTCATGCATGTGCAGGGGCAGGTACATATGTAGTAGACTGTAGTACAGTCTAGCACAGGGTGACAGGAGCAGAACAAAGACCAATGGGGGAATATTTCTCTACAAGTATTTTTTTTGTCCAAGGCCACATGAGAAGACTGGCACAGCACTGGGCAGAGGTGTAAGGAGCTGGGACTCCCAGGTCTCCTATCTCCACTAGCCTTTTCTCTCTTGTGGGATCAGCTGGCACCAGGAATGACTGGTGACAACTGACATGGGCTGCACAGCCCAATGCCTACTGAAACCGTGATCGCACACACTAGTCTCGGCACTGCAAACAAAAGGACAGGGAAATGGTCCCTCTATCCTCCTCCCACCTCTGGAGCCAAAATTAATCTGGCTGCTCTTATATTCTTGCTTGC